GGGGAGGGTGGCCGAATTCGTGGCAAGCGGCAGCAGCTGCGCCACCGGGATTTCAAGAACTGATATGCCGTAGGGTGGGGCTGACAGGAGCTGATAACGTGATAAGATGCGATAAGGGACCCCAGACGCGGGTGTCATCAAATTCTTAGTGCAGGGCAGCAACCGTGGGACCTTGTTTTTCGTGAGAATTGTGTAGGGAAGGGAAGTGGACATGATTGGTGTGTGACAGAAGCTGATAACATCTGATAAGATTCGATAAGGAGACGGACGCGGAGGGTCACCAAATTCCTAATACCGGATGCAGTGAATTAGACCATGGTTCCGAGATGGTATACAGGGACGGGTTGGGTGACAAAATCTACTATCACATGATAAGATTTGATAAGGGATCAGATGCGGAGAGTCACCAAATTCGTAGGGCGGGTTGCAGGGTCTGCGGAACCTTGGCTCCAAAAAGTGGTATAGGGGAGGGGCGGACACCCATTGAACGGGTGACACGAAGTGACTGATAAGAGTTGAAAGCCATCATGCGGAAATCCGCAACACCGCTTACAACCACAATGAGATTGATATGATCCAGGTATCATGCTCTCAGTAGTTCGCACACAACTCACTCCTAGGCTTTATCGTTATTGACATCATGTACGGCCACTAAAGCAACTGGAGTTCAGATGATGACGGTTGTTTACTCAATTGCCATGAACAGCAGCAGCAACTAACGTTATCACTATGACCATGATTATCTTCCATCAACAACCCGAGAGAGGACCACTTGCAGCGCTACACTGCCGAATGCGGGAGGGCATTCTAGAAAAAACCCTACTATGGTGGAGAACGGTAGGATGCTTTGAAGGCTGCTCTTACAAACTGCTGACTTTTCGTGTGAGGGTTATAAAGATTTTGGTACTAACCCTGAGAAAAGAATGGACAAAAGGTTAGATTTCAGCGTTGCATTAGGACAATGGGCAGAGGATGTGATAGGGGACAACACGGAAGTATCCTACTATATATAACGAGCGCGGCGGGCAATACAGATTTATGTATTGTGAGGGCATTATGGCGCGGAGCACACCCCTGCTGCAAATAGAAGCGTGTACTAAGTAGTACACGATCCCAACCCTTGCTCTATCGGTTGCGATTCGATCACTGCAGCGCCGTATAAGCAGCCCACCGTTGAAAAAGGTAGAAATTATGGAGCGCGCCTAGCGAAGCCAGGCCAGCTTCCATAATACAAAGTAAAAAGCAGGCCTAGCAACCGAGCTAAAGAGAGGGAGGAGAGCTTGGCGTCAGCCGGGCGATCCAACTGGTAAAGTATATGACGTGCCTTACTTTGCATTATGGAAGTCATGCCATCGTGCTCCTGGCTCGCCTTTGTGATCACGTCTTCATATACCTGCCTCGGCACCCTTCCAGCGTACAGCGGATCGTCTTTGATCCCAAGTAACAAACGGTTATCGGAGAACCTCCTATCCGTTTTGCTTTGCTTCTGCTGCTTCGTTTGGGGTGCAGATGTGGTCGATACCTCACGGATCACTCACGAACTCGTCTCCGGTGGCCTTAACAAGCGCCATTTGTCGCTAATCACGAAAACGGTAGAATTTAGATCCCACCTTCATCATTGTCCAGAGTTCATTTTTTTACACGATACGCATTGGTAGACATCCCAATTCCTGGCTCTTCGGGCGTGTACGAACGTCGATGACAATGAACCTGGAATTCTTTACGTTAAACTTCCTTTTTTTTCCGCGGACGGTTGGGCATGTCAGGCAGTATGAGTGTTCACATCGTCAAAGCCGTTCTCTACCTTCTTGTTGAAGGGCGACAAAAAGTGGTAGAAAACGAGTAATACAAACGATATGATACAGTCATATCATTTAGTCGTTTTAACAACTGGTGGGGAACGGATCTGGCACCGCGCCAACTCATCTCGCCTGACACGCCCAACCGTCCGCAGCGAAGTACTCTATAGAGTCACACTGCTTTTTGACTTCCAGGTTCTACGAAGGCGACTAGCCAAAACGCTAGCGTAACAAAATTGTTTAACACCTTGGTTGTGGCTTCAGAACCCCGTTGAAGACAAAGACGTATTAGTTCATCAGCACTCCTATGTCCTGCTTCGAATTTTCTCGATTCGGAGAGATGTCACTACTACCACTAGAAACCAACGACAGTGGTACAAAGGCAACGTTCCTTAGAAAAAGCTTTGGAATGACTCAACATCGACCCCTGAGCTTCGCAATCCTGCTTTTCCTACTTTAAGAGCTGTGTTCTCAAAAGTTTGGATGTTTCGAAAGGGTACTTCTAGAAGTTTGTTTCATTTCTAGAGAAGTGGTGAAATAGCGCGCTCTGATCCAGCAGTCAAAAACTTCTCGAGCACTTACGCGGAATTTTCGAACAAGAGCGACGCTTACAAGGGAGGTGTTTCAGGCTATTTGGAAATGGTTTGTTGCTTTTTGTAGGGGTCCATACAAGGATCACAAAAATGGGTTTCATTTTTGCTATGCGTTTCTGGGTAGGTCAAAAAGTGAGTGAAAAGAATATGACAGGAATGGGCGATGCCCTAATTATGTCTCAAAATAGATTCGATTAAAGTCAAAATGTAAGTATCATGTGGTAATACACTTGGCGTGAGCCGACGCAAGGGTGATGTTTTTGTCAGCGCTCCCTTCATGACCATTGCTGGCGGATGGGATGGCGTAGCGGATAGCACAATGGATTTTGGGTGGCACGACAATGCGGGACTCGATTCGGATCCTCATTGCGGCAACAGTTTTGCATCTGTATCAACGCAACGAGACGTGAACATCTCCGGAAACAAGCTTCTCCACACAAATGTGCTGGTTTGTAAGGTGTCATCCAGGAATACCCACCAGGACAACCTGGCCATTTGCAGTGAGTGCATATCATTGTACTCGCCTCAACACAATTAACTCGAAACTACCTCCAAAATTTGCGGAACGATTTTCTGAGCGGAGTTATGGAAGTTTTCCTTCACTGTCTTTCTTCTTGCGGATGGGCTGGCACAGTGAATTTGCACCTGTAGCGCTACTCACAGCTCTCTCTCTCCGTGCGAAATAGATATCATATTCGTATTCAGGGGTCAAACAACCACTAGAAACGCCACCTTGTGGAAATCCGAGGATCGGACTCAACTTCGAAAAAATGGGGTAGTTATGGTCACGCCTGGATGGTAGCCATTACTCCGACTAGCATACTGGTTATGACTGGTCTTTGCACTGAAATAACCCTTCAGTCATGTCTTTTCTTAAAAAACAATACCTGGCTCACTTTCTCGTGCCGCCTGTATTATTCTCCTAATTACCGGTAGAAAATCCCATCCCAAGACCAGTCATCCATAGTGGGTGGACCCCAGCCTGCTGCTAATTGTCCATAGAATGGCCCATATTTCCCAAGTTAGGTCGAAACGTCAGATCTGGTTAGAAATTAGTCCCCAGGGGTATCCAACCCGCTGAACATAAATATGATGGTATTTCATTGCGACAACCTTTCTGACATGAGCTACGAGGGGCAGCACAAGCACGCTTTTAGGTCACAATGTGGCCACAAGTATATGCCTTCAAATGGCATATACTTGACTTATTTCCACTGCCGGGCACAGGGCACGCGAATGAATGGAATGCTGAAAAATGCAAAGCAGTTTCCGCGAGGAGGATCCGATCCACAAAGCCCCCCCGTGCCGTGCCATCCAGAATCCGTCGGTTATCCACTGCGCCATCCGATCCGTTTGCAGTGGTCGTGAAGGGTTCGCTGACAAAAACATCACCCTTGCGTCGGTACATGCCAAGTGTATTACCACATGATACTTGAATTTTGACTTCAATCGAATCTATTTTGAAACATAATTAGTGATCACCTCATAAAATATGCATGCTCGAAGTTACAAGCAGAACGGAGCTCATTAACATTGTTAAAACCGTCCATTCCTGTCAAAGTCTTCGCACTCAGTCTTTGACCTACCCAGAAACGCATAGCAAAAATGAAACCCATTTTTGTGACCCTTGTATGGATCCCTACAACAAGCAACAAACCATTTCCAAAAAGCGCGCCATGACCTGAAACACCTCCTTTGTTAGTTCAGTTTAGTTTATCACATGATTGAGCATGTAAGCCGTCATCACAGGGAGACGTAAAACAACAAGAACAAAAAAATGAAATCAAAAGGAACGAACGGCTTAGAGAACAACCAACGATGATCTGCACAAATGAAGGGAAATACACACTTCGATAGCTGGAACAAGCAATCGATACATAGATTGAATTGGGAACGAGCGCGGGGAAACACAGCGTCATATAAGTACACGTCCAGGATAAGACTTAAGCAGATTGGGTGATATTGGGAGCGGTTTATGTTTGTCCAGGCAAGAGTAAATAGGCCCAGCTCTATTAACGAGGAAATGGCGTCTAGGTCCGCTGCGAGCTGCCGCAAAATTGAACTTTATCATGCTCCCCTAGTGATAGACGGCGTCAGTTGGAAAAGTTGACCACTGTCCAAGTAAAAGCCGAGACAGCGAAGAAATAGCTCGCGCGTAAAGCTATTCTGAAGCGCCTTAAGTCTTTTGGTCAGAGACAGATTGAACCAGTAGTCCCATACCCTAAAATATTCCGAACATAAGTTTTGTATGGGGCAAGCAGTGTGTGGGGATTAGTAGAGGAAAGGGCTTTGAACAGATTACAAAGTCTCTGCTAACCAGCATTTGCAACAATATCACACTGTTTGGAGAAAGCAAGCTTTTCATTGACACGAAAGTCAAGGTCTACCGTTGTCGATACTGGCTAAAGCAAGATGCCATTTAGACTAAAGTGAAAACGCCCATTATTAGCACCGATGTGAAACATTTTAGTCTTCTTTGGGCAGAGAGGGAGCCTCCAATCCTCAGACCGATCATACATAGCGTTGACTGCCTGAATAATTTTGGAAATACCATCATCAACCTCAGCGTAATTTGACTCCTGTCTCATACATAGTTACTGGAACCTCATTATATATATATTAAAGAGTATAGGCTAGGCGAGAGACTTGAACCGTGCTGGACAACACTAATGGTGAGAGCGCATACTTCAGAATGCATTGTTAACCCTAGCCTGAAAAGTCCAACTGAGCAAAAAGTTGCTAACCCACCTCACGACTCTAATTCCAAGCTAACCTTTGACATTTTGACTTGGAGTAGCTGATGAGAAATTCCACCAAATGCTTAAGTAAAAGCAACATTCACCACATTAACAGGCTTGTTTCTATCAAGGGACACTGTCCAGTCGTTCAAAGCTTTTAGCATGTGTGTCTCAGTAGACTTGCCGCGGACAAATCATGCTGATCGCAGGACATAATGGAGTGGGTATCAAAATGAAGTAAGATGACATCACAACAATGCTGAGTTGTGCGCAAGAGTCGTACCAAAGGCGGGAGTTGACCGCACTTCACGCTGTCCGGGCGACTTGACTTTCAGAACGCGAACTGCGGCGTAAAACAGCACTTATCATTATATGAAGTGAGATGTGTTTTTTTTCATAACCTTTTCAAACACACGAAGGAATACTGAAGTGATGCTAATGGGACGATAGTTCTGCGCACAGGAGTGGGGAGGCTTCTTAGGTATAGGCACAACGAAGGAATGCTTCCATCGCATGGGGACCTCTGCGGTCATTAGGCTTAAGCTAAAGATGATACAAAGAGGGTAGGAGATAAATGGGGCAATCCTCTTTAACAAACTTGTGGTTTGAAAGTCAAGCATCCGATTCTATATCATCACTCTATTATGCACTTGGTTGTCTTTTTTTGGAAGGAATTCTATCGAGATCCGCTTTCGTGAGCATATTTGGCAGAAAATTCACAGTGCGAAATGGAGTGCCCTGCGGCACTGGCTTTCCATCGCTCAATCTGCACTGCGAATACCAAGAACTGTTCCAGGAGAACCCCATAGCACTTACAACCTACATATTCACAACCAGCACTCGAGACTGTCGATGTCCTAGTGTCCCCCCCCCTACAAAACCCACGGGAACATGAAATTCTCCCCTTCTGTGACATTTTTTTTTCAGAACCGTTCATTGCACACCGTAGGGGACTTGCATGGATCACAAAACTTGGTATGTTTTTCAATCGTTCTTCTGGAAATTTCACTGAGAAGTGAAAATTTCTTTGCGAGTATATGGACTTCGTTATAGATGGCACGTTTTCTGATGTGAAAAACTGGGTGTTATTGGACGTGCCCGTTATCCAAATACTAGCATAAAAATAGAAACCGCAGCTGTTGAAATCTTGTTGTAATCAAGACCAGGGTACAGCATCGTTGTGCGAAACCCATAGGGGGTTGTATTTGGCCGCTGGGGAGGGGGGCGTATTCTCAAGGGTCACTCAGAGCCGGGCAATGCTCCGACATTTCAGTTGATAGTGGGAGTGGTGCTATGGAAGTTGAGATGTTAAAAAAATGGAAATTATTACATATAGTAGAGTATATTCTTTACAGATTTAACTGCTTCGTTTAACAGCCATCTTTCCATGCGGAATTCCCCAAAACTACTCAACGGGTTCGAACTTGGCCGCGGGAGACAGTGGGGAGTACCGACAAAAGTGGGCTCGCTAGGCTACCTACTAACCGTACAAAATAGTCATGCTAAGTTTGATGGAAGGAACGGAAAGCTGGCGAAAACCGGATGTAATATGGACGTACAAAAGTAATAGAAAAGTTTATTAGGCAATATAGCAGTAATACAAGAATAAATAAATCAATAAATAAATTAATAAATAAATAAACAAGCTAATAGATATCAGTAATAGCATAAACCGTAAGTACGTAGAATTGACTTAATAATACGTCTCAAAGAGATCCTGGTGATTGCTGCTCCCAAACTCTAAACAAACGTCTGCTGCAGGAATAAGGCAACTGAAATCAGAATCTACCCTTTCCTCTGCGTAGAATAGCTAATGCGCGGCGACACTCGCGCCTAAATCGATCCAGTGATATGAGCCGGGTCTCCTCTTTCACTATTGAAGAGAAATATGCAGTTCTCAAGGTGTATCCTCTACAATGGCACAGAAAGAGTCGATTTTTTCGGGTACTCAGAGAGTAGCGTCCTGTGCCCCATTTAAAATATCTCCTGAACTAGCTGGGTCTTCAGGAACAACTATAAAGTATATGGAAAGAAGAAAGATAGGCGGTTTTTCAAGACTATTCCAATCCTGATGAAATGCGTTCGAAAAATAAGTAGTTCTCGTGTGAAACATAGAACCTTTACCCCTAGCCTATCCAAAACATCCGGGATATTTCACCAACGGGGGATTGTTCAGTTTGCAGCTAGCTGGAATATACAATCAGTAGAAAGTTTGCCGTTGCATGCTGCTCACCATCCTCAAAAGCTTCGCCCCTAAAAGATATATAAGCTCCCCAAAGACCCCAGGACGCTGACTTTCGAGTTACCGCGCTCCCGATTGACGTTTTTTGCAGCCGAAGGTGTTTGCGACCTTGCGATCTATGACAGCAAGTATACAGGGGATGGGGCCAAAAAAAAAAGTCATTCCGGCCGAGTCACATATGAGGAAGTTTTCGCAGCCCAGACAGAGGAAGTGGATATGAGCTACAAGGCGGAAGATACCCAAGTCTTCCTCTATAAGCAGGAGCCGGCTGCGCCCCATTCACTTTGATGCTACACCAAAATTATGAAGTTCATCTCAGTCGCGTCTGAGTGGGCGACGGCCTTTGCGAATTCCACGTGGCCTCCAAACAGCTGCGGAACCTTCCTGATATGGAATCACCATGTGTTACTACCTGGGGACCAGTACTCTTGACCTGCAAGACCACAAACATCGAGCAGACTCAGGCAACGTCGCTAGCGCGTCCAGGACAGCATCTCACCCATCACCAAGGCGCGGGCGTTGATGGTGTGGACCGGCCGTACCTTGGAATGGATGAACGGATATTTTCATTCGTGCGGCCCAGACTGAGGGCTGTGTGCTGGTGGCTACATCGAGCCAACTCGAGGAGAATATGCATCTTCATGTCGTCGCCCGTGACTTCTTGGAAACTTTGTAACTTGCTACAGGATTCTAGTGCACAGCACATTTAATCGAAGGCGTTGGAAAAACTTTCGCCACCTTGGAATGGAAGAACGTGAGTTACCTTGCAAAGAGGATTATTTAAGCGGCGGTCCTGAACCTACCCCTCCTCAATTACTCGGCTCGCGGGCGGCAGCTCCAACAAGGGTGGCTACACTAGAGAAAATCAAACGATCTCGCTCCAACTCCGTACCCACTCACTTTCCGCCAGCGCCGCCGAATCTCTCGATGTGCGCTCCTCCAGGGAAGGCTGTGGGCGGAGCTATCATTATACGTATTAATGTCTGCGCTTTATACAATATGGTCAGTAAAAATGTGTGAATAAAAATTTAATATAGTGTTAACTTATAGCGTCCTTGAAAGTCATGGAGGCAAAAATGACTGTAGGTCGATTTACTGCCGCCTGATTGTCCTTTTTCTCGTTTGGCTCCGCTTTTTTCATTTTTCATGTTTCGCTTTGTTGTCTCGTTGATGTTTTTATGATTTCCCCGTCAAAATTCATTGAATGCACATCTGGGGCCTAACACGCTGACCTTGGGGCTAATTTTTTTCACCAGTTTGGCTCATTGATGATCACCATTAGTTGCTGTTTCGATTGCGTTCCTTCATACAAGTTGCTTGTCATACATGGTTATCGATCGAGGAGTTTTATTTTGAATCCTAAGACTAAACTGTACGTAATGCGAGGCTGTTGCTCAGCCTTATATTGCATGAGGGTGAAACAGCCTCTTATTGCCTGGACTCAATAGCAGAGTCCGCCTTTCGAAAATTTAGATTCCATTTCAGGAAGCCATCTGTGGTGAACATGCATCTGGTTTCCAGTCAGAGCAGGAGGGAGGGGTCGTATCTGGACCCCCTTCGAGGTGGGGGGGAGGGTCGTTCTCACACCGCCATTTCGCACATCCTCATGCTGTACCCTGATCAAGACTCGAGTCATCAAACAGTTCTTCAGCTTTACCATATGAACAGAAACGCGCAGAGATTAAACTTCACCTCTGCAGGGTTACTGTGTTGTACATTCCCTTACAGCATGTTTCCACTTTGAGGGAGCGCTCTAAGAGCGTAACAAAGGTTGCTGTGACAGCAGTAGGTGTTAGAAACATTTTTAAGAAGAAATATGCTGCAGCGGATACCAGCAACCTGTACCCATAGATGATCGCTTTCTGGAACAGCATGATCATTTATGCGCAGGTACTATGCAATCTTCACACATAATTCACGCACTTTTCACTTGTTTCATATCTACTTTTTTTAAATGAAAGCAATCATTTCCTAGGTGTGAACCTAATGATTGGTCATCACAGAGAACTACTTGCATTGTTTTTATTCATTACGTTCATTTTACACCCATGCATCGCGAAGTAAGGTTGGTGTAAAAAGTGTACGGTTTTTCGCAAACGGTATTCGCAGTTTTTGTTTGGTTGTTCAACACTGCTGCTGCCAGAGTTTTTTTCGTTGTAACTGCAACAGTCGGGTCGCCTAGATGTCACCGGGCGCTGTTTCTTCCATGTTACAGCCCGTTCTTAACGGGTACTCTCCCCTCGGAACTAGAATATGCAATATGTGCCGAACGCCCCAAGAGCCTATCTCCAGAGAAAATAAAGAAAAACAAGTCGAAGATAGCTCAACATTAAAAATCACTTATGCGCACCTGGTCCTCTTCGCTAATTCATGACTTCCAACTGGGAGAAGGCTGCACCATATAGCGGCTTCAATTTTGATATGACATTGGATCAAAGTTGAGGATGAGCAGTGCTGCAGCGCCCTTCTACCTTTGGGAAAGGGCGCTGTGGAGCCCTGAGTGGTAGTAAGAAAGAGAACCTAAACGCGTTTAGCTCGTCAAAGTGTACGTCACACGGAAGCCTGCATGCCTCCTTACAAACGTTGTTAGACAAGACGTCCCACGCTTGATCGTTGGTTCCCCTCTTGTTTCATTCGATTCAAACCTACACCTCTCACCGAATTGTTGTGGAAACACAGCGGGCAAAGCTCAGGGAAAGTTTTCGATTGGTGATTTGAAGATTTCTCGTTTCAGGCCCCTTGTATAGCCATTCCCTCTTCTCCTCCTCCGACATCTTTTCATTCTTCATGCATCCTACAGCACACAAATTAGTAGACGGTTCCGAATTTTGCTGACATCGTGATGGCCGGGGGGAATTCTCTGACTTTCTAGATGACAAAATAGCAGTAATGAGTACTACGAAATACCATACAGCAGATCCAATATTTCTCATCCTAATATATATAAACCGCTCGTGTGTGTGTGTGATTGTTACGATATTCATAGCGCCGGTCCCAGTTGCAGTGGGACATTGGTTCCAAGGAGTGATGTAGGGGGTGTGACGGAACAGTATTGGTGGGGGACAGGAAGTGATGTCAGCTGATAATATTCGATAAGGGGGGGGGGGAAAGGAGAAGGTTATAGTTTATTTAGGTTTTCATAACGCGGATGACAGCATCAGCTAGCTCTTGATTCCAAGATATGCTAAAGGGTATGGGCCAAGAACAGACTGGTGAGTGACAACAACTGTGAGCTGCTGATAAGATTCAATAAGGGGCCTCAGAAGGGTGAGGTCATCGTTCACAGCGCAGGTCACAGCATCAGCGAGGCGTACGTCTCAGCAAGTGATATGGTGGGTGACTGGAAGCGATAACTACTGATAGAGGCTGATAAGGGAAGCTGCAGTCGTCGTCGCTATTCAAGTCACGCTACCAAAATCATACAGATCCGGTGATGAAGGCGTTGATGATGGGTGACAGGTAATCTTAACGATCGATAAAAGCAGATAAGATACCATCTGCGCTGCATTTTTTATCATTTCTTACGCTATAATGCCGAGAGAGGCTCACTATGTGAATCCTTCCCTGTGATGGCAACAGAATCAAGGTCGTCCAAAAGCATTTGGTTTTAGATGCATGCAAGGTGGAGGAGGGGAATCGAGAAATTCAGCAGTTAAAAAAATTTTCTCAAATCTGCCTGCTATGTGATGTGTTAGGAGGTGGCGGTCGCAACTGAAGCAAAATAAGGAGAAAACCCAACAATTGGGAGTGGGAGCGTCCTGTCGGTGGTGACATTTTCCGTGCGACACTTACTTTGACATTCACAAAGTCCTCCTTTTCAGTGCCACCTATGACTGTGCGATTATGCCTCTCCCGGGTACTAAGGACTTGAAATCTGAACTCACTCAACTTTGCCCATTCTGATGTAGCACTATGGTTTTCAATGATGTGGAGCAGCCTTCTCACTGTTGAGTCTGTAGTCTGCGAGAGGGACCAGATATTGGTAGTGAATGACTGACATTTGGCACAGTCTACCTCGTCTAAGGGAAGAGTGCTTGGCCAAGACAGGTAGGTTCGGAGAAGCCGGGCCGTGAAACAGAAGGAGGAGCCCTCGGCGGCAGCCTACTGGTCAGTTAATATCATCATTTGTCACCCGTCATCAGTGTCCATACCACTAAGTCACTATAATTTGGTAGCGTGGTTCCAAGAAATTGAACAACCACAGCGGCCGCAACGTCCCCTACCAATCCCTATCAACACTTATCGCTTCTCTTCACCCACTGTTGATTTCCCCATATCACGCTTTATGTGACTTGCTGCAACTAACGCCTCGCTGATGCTGTGAATACACTGACCTTACCCTTCTGACGCATCTTATTGAATCTTATTAGCAGTCTCTAGTTATTTTCATTTACCTATAGTGTTCCCGTCACACCCCCAGAATCGCGACTATTGTCACCGAGTGATGTCTACCTAGGAATAAACAACACAACCACAACAAACAAAAAGCGTGGACTAAGAATTCTAGGAACGAAGTGTTGCCAAATTTCCTATGCGCTAAATAATGGCAGCGTTTCATACTACTAGACGACAAAGTTTCTAAAGGAAAAATAGCTTGAGACTATTTACAGCGGGTCATCAGATTTCCATTCTGTTCCACTATCGCCCTATCACCCTAGAAATATAATTCGCTTCGCCTGTTTGTTTGTTTGTAAGGTTGTAAGTTTGTTTGCAAGTTGTTTGCCTGTCCGGAAATTCGGTTCGACCTGAAGAACGACTTGGAGAGGTCGGGTCAAGGTGGGGATGGGTAGGGCATGGGACAAGAAATAAAAAGCTCACTTGATCTATTGAAAGCCGCGCCCACTGGGCCCAGTGGGCGGGGCACTCGCCGAAAGTTTGGGTTTCGCAGAAAAATGATCATAATTCGCTTCCGGAGCAGCTTAAAGATGGGAAAAAATGGGAATAAGGTGAGCAAGTACTTGCCAGACTAACTGTGGGAGACGCGTCCAAAATGGACGGGGCGTACTCAAGGTGGGCGGCACTTCTCTCAAATCTCAGTAACCCGGTTCGCAAGAGTGTTTAGAAGTAGCAGAAAAGCTGTATGCAGAAATTAAATATCTGGCGAGTGTTAGGCATGCTCAAAGTGTGTTCAGACCGCTCACAGTGAGCGGGGCCTGCTCCGAGTTGGGCGGAGTCAGACAAAAGTCTGTAAAACGGTTTCAGCACATTCCAGAAACTGGAAAAAAAGAGAATCAAGGTTAGCAGAGGGTCGCCGTTGAGGATTGAGGGGCAAAACTTTGTGGAATTGACCTGTTCCGATGTCGGCGGAGTTAGACAAAAAGGGCGCAGTTTGTCGACGGGGGGTATTTTGCTTTCCATAGTTGTGTCGACCCATCTAGGCAGCCGTTTCTCGAGTTGACACGTTTTGAGATTGTGGGTAGACGTTCTTACTTCAGCTTCACAAGAGTTCACAAGTTTTAACAGAGTGAGATTCGTAAACCGGAATTAGGGAAGCAATGATAATACAAAATGCCCCCCGTCGACAAACAGCGCCGACAAAAAGTCTGCAACGGTTCCAGAGCACTACAGAGACCGGAATAAAAGTGGATTTAGGCCAGTGAAGGGTCACCGATTGGAAGGTGTGGGGCACACATGTCGTGGGCGTGGTCCGCTCCGATGTGGGCGGTGCCAGACTAAAATCCTGCAAAATGGTCCCAGAGCTTATCGTTCCACACCCATCATGATCGTGCTAGCTATTTACAGCTGTCGTGCAATCCTAGGTGTAGGTGGCGTGAATCTGAGTCTCTCTCCATCGGCAGTCATACACTCAATCATCGGTAGCTGCAGATACAGTTGGGACGGTTGACGCTGGCGTATCTCTTCCTGAGATGTGGGCGGCATGGTCAGGCGAGCGTAGTTTAGATGCGCGATCCTTCTTTTGTTCTGTCACAGTACTTGATTAATGCCTGACTTTTCTCTCAGTTGTGCACCTGCTCGACGCTCTTTACCACTATTATATAAATTCACTTAGAACATGCGTACAGGTGAGAGAGGAAAAAACTTTAGTCGAGCATTGCAGCACAACGAAAAAAATACGCGCACGAAGCCGCGCCCGCCTGGCTAAGCTGGGCCGTACCACAGAGGGAGGCGCGCCGGTGTTAGCCGGTGAGCCGACCGGTTATAAACAACAACAAAACATATGCGGCTTATAAACACTATAGAAAAATGTTCGTAACCGCCGAGGTGATAAGCAGAAGTCAGCGACTTAGTCGTCAACTCATCCAAAGGAGTTTCAGGATGCTCTTTCTGTTCCCAATCCTCCATTTGGTCAACAGCAATAATTTCAACGATCCATGCTCCGAAACTACGCAAGCTAACAACGCGAGCGCTTTCTCCAAGTTTATTGGTGTTTTGCGTTCTTCGATTGATTACAAGATAAGTTTATGGATACGAAGATAAATCACACTTGTAGTCACTCGCTACCAGTGAGCCAAAAATTCATTTTAGATAGACCCTTGTGAAGATTTCTATAAGTTTGCATGCGGGAACTGGATTGCTAATGCTCCTGAACCAAAAACGAGTTGGGATATCATAAACACTATAACTGAATTATCTTCCGTGTATGAAAAAAAACAAAGAGGTTGGTGAATAAGCTTGCAATGCATAAAAAGTCATTGTCTGCAAAGCTTTTGATTCCACTGTACAAACTTGATGCACATTAACAGGTTGAAGATAATATGAACCACCGCTGGCTCGCAAGCGAGTGGCCACGTGAGACAATATGAGTCACATTGGTAGCTGATAGCATTTTGTAGCACTTCTTGTTTTATTGGTTTCCGTTAATTATTTCTGTTCACCAGTTGAACATACATTTCTGACGGTCTTCCAGTCTTCTCAATGTGGGCTGGGTTACATGCCAAACATTCAAGTGGCATTAACGCAACCTACATTGGAGAGACTGGAAGACCGTCGCCTTTTGCCGTTAGCAGTACGCGTCAAAGAACATCTTGCTGGCAAAAGGCGTGATAATTTTCAAGTATTTGATCGAGGAGCACCGTGGAAATGACTTTGACGTGAAGTGCACGGTTCTGGCATGCGAGACTGAGATTTTTGCCAGAAAAGCTCTTGAGGCATTCTGGATTTCTGTAAGAAATCCTATAATGAACAACCGCTGAGTGCTTATCCATTACAAATGACCTTTTGCCATTTGTGTCGCACTGCAAGCTGCTGGTGTGAGCGGTGGGACGTGCCATCTGTGACTATAGTCACAACAAGATTGGCACAGTAAGTCCCACTCATTGTACTAACAACTAACTGAGCGGTTACTCCCGCTCCGCTGTGGTGGACTGGGTGAGTCTTTGCACTCACTCGGGATTTTTGGGTGGTTTTCTCAGTAGTCTGTCAGAAACGTTAGGGAAGAGAGATTTTTGGCGGTGTAGAGGGAGCAGTTTCAAACCATGAACCACGTTTAGGCCTCTCATACTGAGGGGGGCACGATCTAGTCGAAACGTCAGGCCGTAATAAAAGTTGCACTCACCAACCTCGTGCGCACAGAAGAACTTATCAAACGTTTAGCCATAGAGATTGCACAGTGCTATTACAATCGCATTTGCAGCCAACCCTATATGACACCGACAGGCGCCTACTTGGCGCCAACACTTTTTTCAGTCAAACGCGAAGTAAACTCGTGTACCAGATTCCTGATCACAAAGACAGTACTCGTTTCCAGCGCTCGCGCCATTTGGCGTCCACGGGCATCTGTTTGGCTCCACAACTTTGTTTTATTTTTTGAGCG